CCCCCCACAGATTCCACATCTCTGTGTTTAGCCCCGCCCACCGATTCTACGCCACTCTGTGTTTAGCCCCGCCCACCGATTCTACGCCACTGTCTGTTTAGCCCCGCCCACCGATTCTACGCCACTGTCTGTTTAGCCCCGCCCACCGATTATATGCCGCTGTCTGTTTAGCCCCGCCCACAGATTCTACATCACTGCCTGTTTAGCCCCGCCAATACAGGCACCAATTCGTGCCTGTAGTGTAAATAATGAGAGAGGCTAACGCGCAGGTCGACGCAGAATGATAAAGATGCTTTGAAGACAGTAAGACGCTGTTCAGTGCCAAGCCGTGGAAAAACAGTGTTTGCATTGCCTTCCTTCTGATCCCAACAATAGGAAAGAGTAAATTAACTTTATTTTTAATGAAGGTTCAGACCGCGTCAGTAAGAACTCTGTCCTTTGTTCACTTAATTTTACTGCGGATTCATTTATTAATTTATTATTATTAAATAAAGATGCTTTGAAGACAGTAAGACGCTGTTCAGTGCCAAGCCGTGGAAAAACAGTGTTTGCATTGCCTTCCTTCTGATCCCAACAATAGGAAAGAGTAAATTAACTTTATTTTTAATGAAGGTTCAGACCGCGTCAGTAAGAACTCTGTCCTTTGTTCACTTAATTTTACTGCGGATTCATTTATTAATTTATTATTATTAATTCACAATTCGGGGCAGGATTTTCAGAAATATTGAAACAAAAAGACAATGCTGTGCGACTATATTGGATCCAACAGTAATGTTTTCATTACATGATCACTATTGCTTTGTCTGTTAAACCAATCGTTTGATATGTACTGAGTATTTATGTGTTTTTAACATAAATCACAGCAGCGTCCATCTGTGAGGAATGTATGCTGTCAAACATACACAACTATTAGCCAATCATAGCAGTGAGCATTTACTTCCGAGTCTACAATCCTCCACGCCTATTCAAACAGAGCATTCTGATGGCCTGTTACTTCTAAATTATGTTTTTTTGATGTAAAAATATTGATAACATGATAAGTGGACCTCAGAGGCAGTTCATGACCCCTTTAAAACCAAATCCAAATAGAAAATAAATTAACAACACTGCAGATGCCCACACATGATGAATCAGAATTATTTATCACTTCCAGATTTGGGTTTTGCACAGACGTACCATCCAGCCGGCGGGGCAAACAGGAAAGAGTAAATTAACTTTATTTTTAATGAAGGTTCAGACCGGGTCAGTAAGAACTCTGTCCTTTGTTCACTTAATTTTACTGCGGATTCATTTATTAATTTATTATTATTAATTCACAATTCGGGGCAGGATTTTCAGAAATATCGAAACAAAAAGACAATGCTGTGCGACTATATTGGATCCGACAGTAATGTTTTCATTACATGATCACTATTGCTTTGTCTGTTAAACCAATCGTTTGATATGTACTGAGTATTTATGTGTTTTTAACATAAATCACAGCAGCGTCCATCTGTGAGGAATGTATGCTGTCAAACATACACAACTATTAGCCAATCATAGCAGTGAGCATTTACTTCCGAGTCTACAATCCTCCACGCCTATTCAAACAGAGCATTCTGATGGCCTGTTACTTCTAAATTATGTTTTTTTGATGTAAAAATATTGATAACATGATAAGTGGACCTCAGAGGCAGTTCATGACCCCTTTAAAACCAAATCCAAATAGAAAATAAATTAACAACACTGCAGACGCCCACACATGATGAATCAGAATTATTTATCACTTCCAGATTTGGGTTTTGCACAGACGTACCATCCAGCCGGCGGGGCAGGAGCATTCTCCAGTCACGTGATGACACACGCCGCCGTTCTGACAGGGACAGCGCTCCTCACACTGCCGCCCGTGTTTCCCCGGAGGACACAGCTCCTCGCAGCTGCAGCAGACAGCAAACACAGCGTCAGACTCACACCGCTGCCAAACCAGGGCCCTAAGCAGAACTATATTGTTGTGCCCCCTCCCCCAAATATCATGGAAGTAAAATTGTGTGTTATATTCGCGGTTGTAGCTAGAAGGGATACAGCTACAGGAAACCAACAATAAATAATTTTTTCAACCTATTAGATTGTGTTTTATTAAAGTCTACACCTACCCCAACCCTAAGCCTACCTTTACATTAATGCAGATACATTCAATATTGTTATTTAGCGTGAGAAAAAGGACGCAATATTGATGTGCGCATGCACAATAAATCCTGGTAGGACAATCTGATGGGTAGGATAAAATGTCAGGACACCGGAGCACATGCCACTGAGGTGAGGGGCGGGACGATTAGAGGTGAGGGGCGGGACGTTTAGACGCGCGCTAGAGGCGGTTTAGCCAATCACAACACACTGGGCTAGCTAACCACTCAGAGCCCATCGCCTATTTCTGAGGGAGGGGCTTCATAAAAGCAGGAAATGATCAGCGTGTTATTGGGAGAAGGGACAGAGCGGTGTGGAATAAAGGTAAATTATGTGAAAAAGAATGTGTTTTTTAAAAAAACGAAGCACTAACACGTTAGACTGCACCCCATAAACACAATCAAGCCTAGAAAAAAACAGTCAACCACCCCTTTAAAGGGTTAGTTCACCCCAAAATGAAAATTCTGTCATTAATTACTCACCCTAATGTTGTTCCAACCCAAGACCTTTTAAGATATTTTTGATCAAATCTGAGCGCACTCTGACCCTACATAGACAGCAATGCAACTGCAATGTTCCCAGGTCCAGAAACTTAGCAAAGACATCGATAAAACAGTCCATGTGGCTCAACTTTAATTTTGCAAAGCTACGAGTATACTTTTTGTGTGCAAAAACAAAAATAACAATTTATTCAACAATTTGTCAAATCAACGTAATCAGTGCTGTTTACATCAGAGGAAAGCACGCGCATGTGTCGTGGTACTCTCCAAAATGGCGGAAGACGTAACTCTGGGAGAAGAATTGTTTAATAAATTATGTTATTGTTGTTTTCTTTGTGAACAAAAAGTATTCTCGTAGCTTCGTAAAATTAAAGCTGAACCACTGATGTCACATAGACTGTGTTATCGATGTCCTTGCTACGTTTCTGGATCTGAAAACATTGCAGTTGCATTGCTGTTTATGCAGGGTCAGAGAGCGCTCAGATTTGATAAAAAAATATCTTAATTTGTGTTCTGAGGATGAACGAAGGTCTTACAGGTTTGGAACGACATGAGGGTGAGTAATTAATGACAGAATTTTCATTTTGGAGTGAACTATCCCTATAAAACCATGGCTAATTTTTGTAAGGTTTGTGATGTCCACATGTTTTTGTTGAAGAAATTATAGAGGCTGTAGCATTTCTATCGCAAAAACATAAATTGTTTATTTTGTATTACATTATCTATTTTAACAGTGTTATTAAATGAAACCATGTGTTCAGTGTGTTCATGTTTATATTTCTATTTATGTATGTTACAGTTTTTTTCTACTGCTTACACACATTTTCAAAACTTTGCCTCTTTTTTTCAAAACTTTACACACAAATCCAAGAATTGCACACACAAAATGCAAAATGCCTCACATCGGTACTCTCCAAAATGGCGGAAGACGTAACTCTGGGAGAAGAATTGTTTAATAAATTATGTTATTATTGTTTTCTTTGTGAACAAAAAGTATTCTCGTAGCTTCGTAAAATTAAAGCTGAACCACTGATGTCACATGGACTGTGTTATCGATGTCCTTGCTACGTTTCTGGATCTGAAAACATTGCAGTTGCATTGCTGTTTATGCCGGGTCAGAGAGCGCTCAGATTTGATAAAAAAATATCTTAATTTGTGTTCTGAGGATGAACGAAGGTCTTACAGGTTTGGAACGACATGAGGGTGAGTAATTAATGACAGAATTTTCATTTTGGAGTGAACTATCCCTATAAAACCATGGCTAATTTTTATAAGGTTTGTGATGTCCACATGTTTTTGTTGAAGAAATTATAGAGGCTGTAGCATTTCTATCGCAAAAACATAAATTGTTTATTTTGTATTACATTATCTATTTTAACAGTGTTATTAAATGAAACCATGTGTTCAGTGTGTTCATGTTTATATTTCTATTTATGTATGTTACAGTTTTTTTCTACTGCTTACACACATTTTCAAAACTTTGCCTCTTTTTTTCAAAACTTTACACACAAATCCAAGAATTGCACACACAAAATGCAAAATGCCTCACATCTCTTGCAAAACAAAGCACTGCATTCAAAATATCACATACACATCTCAAAAGCAAACATTTGCAAACACCTTTGCAAATAATATTAATTCCTGTTAGATTTTTGTGAGTTACAAAGAGAATTGTGTGTTGTGTCTGATAAAAGTGTTTTATGAAATTGAAAACGGAGTCAAAGGCTGAGGTAGATTTGGTGTGTGCTTCTGCTGTTTGAGTGTCAGCTTTCAGAAATTGTGTTACAAGTAAAGATTTTGTGTTCAAGCAGTTGAAAAAAACTAATATAGAATGAAAGTTTGTTTTTTTTAACAGCTACTGCGTACAATCAGACAAACGGCACACTCTGTGCACAGGCAATGTATATTGAGCATGCAGGTGAACTCACAAGGCTCCCGTGTATCCCGGGCTGCACACACACTCTCCGGTGACGTGGTGACACGTGGCGTTGTTCTGGCACAGGCACCTCTGCTGGCAGCCGTGTCCGTAGGTGGAGCGCTCGCAGAGGTCCTCGCAGCGCCAGCCGCGGTACCCGGCCGCACAGAGGCAGGCTCCGGTGATGGGGTTACACAGCGCCCCGTTCTGACACTGACAGCGGCTGCTGCAGTGTGGACCCCAGTGATCACCGTCACAGGCTGCGCAGACACACAGAGCTGCTGTTCACGTCACACACCACAGGACATCCTGCACTGCAGACACTAAAGCTATGACAAGCCACCAGAGGCCGTGCTTTACTGCGGTTTCACCATGGTCTATTCTGGTAGTCCACTTCCAGAATAAACATTTTGCTGATAATTTACTCACCCCTATGTTATTCAAGATGTTCATGTCTTTCTTGCTTCAGTTGCAAAGAAATTTTTGTTTTTGGAGTAAAACATTGCAGGATTTTTCTCCATATAGTGGACTTTAATGGTGGCCAACGATTTCAAGGTCAAAATGCAGTTTCAATGCAGCAGAAAAAAGCTCTACACGATCCCACCCGAGGAATAAGGGCCTTATCTAGCGAATCCATCAGTCATTTTCTGAAAAAAAATAATACATTTTAACCACAAATGCTGGGCTTGCTCTAGCTCTGCGATGCACTTCTTCACACATTACGTAATCATGTTGGAAAGGTCACGTGCGGTTAGTTCTTCGTTTTTGTACTTCAGTTAAAAACGCCATCTCATTTTCTCCTCCAACTTTAAAAAACATTGTTGTTTTACATTTTGGTAAAGGGCAATGACTTTATTTGCATGTTGGCTTTATAAACACTGGGTCTGTACTTTCCAATATCACCTAATAAAGACACACATGTGCATCGCAGAGCTAATGCTAGCCCAACATTTGTGGTTAAAAAGTGTATATATATTTTTTTTTTTTTTTCAGAAAATGTGAAAGTGACATGACATGTGGCCAAGTATGGTGACCCATACTTGGAATTAGTGCTCTGCATTTATCCCATCCACCCAGTGGGCAGCCATTTTTGCTGCGGCACCCGGGGAGCAGTTGTGGGTTCGGTTCTTGCTCAAGGGCACCTCAGTCGTGGTATTGAATGTGGAAGAGAGCGCTGTACATTCACACACCCCCCACCTACAATCCCTGCTGGTACGAGACTCGAACCCACAAGCTTTGGGTTACGAGTCCGACTCTCTAACCATTAGGCCACGACTTCCCCTAGTGTGTCCACTATATGGAGAAATATTCTGGAATGTTTTCCTCAAAAAAATTTAATTTCTTTGCAACTAATGAAAGAAAGACATGAACCCCTTGGATGGCGTGGGGGTGAGTAAATGATCAGGATTTGTTTTATTCTGGAAGTGAATATCCTTTAAACACAGTAACATGTGAGTGTTCTGAGGTAAGTTCCGGTTCTAGTCTTTGGTTCAGTGTGAATGAAATACTGCTTTAGTGTGTGTGTGTGTGTGTGTGTGTGTGAGAGAACAACACATGACATATCACTGTAAAAGCAAACCTACAGACAATGTTTCAGTGGAGTGGAGGTACAGGACACCAGGGTTCAGTAATTGTGTTCATTTTACTGTTTTTCTGAATTGCTAAAACACTAAACCCCAATCTCTGAACCAAATTCTCATTAGCTTAAACCAATATGTCGAATAAAGCACTCTTTCTGCCAAACACGTTCAGGCAGTTAGGCTCTATTTGCAAATCTCATGCACTCTTTTTGCAAAACTAAACACATTCTCATTCACTTAAACACTTATCACACTGTGATGCATTTGTGCTGCAAAATGCTAAACACAAGCAGCTAAAGTTAAACACAACTAAAGCACAGTTGTCATCATTCACACACAACGATTCAAAATTGTTCACACTTGTTTCTAATGATGTGATCAAACCAATTGTACAAAATATGAGCCAGTTCAGAGAGCACAAGTGCCACAGGAGACTGAATGATGATACGAACAATAGATGGACACAGTCTGAGAAGGAGAGGAGGAAGAGTACATGTAAGAAGTGGAGGATGAGGAGAGAAAGAGGAAGGTTTAGAGAGTGTTATCAAGGCTGGATCTGTCAGACCAGAGGGGTTTTTTCTCTGTCTAGCAAAAAAGACAGCATTACTTGTGATGTGAAGTCTCCAGCACAAAGACATGATGCTGAGACAGAATGAGTCTATCATTGACCCGGATTTTACAATCGCACAACTTACAGTATTTGAGTGTACTGTAACATGCTATTCATTTCGAGTTTTATTTGACCTTTTTGATCTTTGCAGTTGGACTGCAGTATTTTTGCAGTATCCAAGTGCTGAATATATACAAACATTCAGTACTATTCAGTATTCAGCACACTACTATTCTTGCAGTACATACAGTAGGCCTATGCAATATATTCACCTTACTCGGTTGCAATTACTATACTTTTTTACAGAATTGCAAAATTGTTTACTCAATACAATATACTTTTTTCTGTAATGTTCTGGATGCAGTGTTCTCCATTTTTCTCTGTAGTGTCTAATGAATGCTCTGTATGAATTGACTCATGTGTGTGTGATCTGAGAGCACGGTTTGGTTTTGAGTGCAAGTGAAATGGTTTTGCAGTGATTGTTTGATTTTGATGAAGAGTCAGAGGTTTCGTGAATTTAGTTTGAGTATTTGGATTTGTGTTTAAGGTTTTGAGAACATGAGTGATGCTTTCAAGAAATGTGTTTTAGCAATTCAGAAAAGCTGTAATAACTGGAATAAGCAGTTCTTCTGTCAAGTAATGCGACTCATTAGTGTAACTGAGCTGTTAAGATGTTTAAGCTAATGCAATGTATGACACCAAAATACAACACAACGTCATAATGAATTTCCAATAACACATCCTCTGGCACTACACAGATTATTACTGTACTGATGAGACAGCAGATCATCAAACCCTAAAATAACATCAGTGTAGCCAAGCTGGGATTTGCTCAGAAACAGAGGCTGATATTTGAATGACAATGTTATCATTGAAATTTTAATGTAGAAATGTGTACAACAGGATTAGTCAAAATAAAAAAAAAAAGTTTAAACTGAACTAAATATGTCTTTAACAATTAACCTGCTGACTGACTTAATTAACTTACTGGAATGTATTTATAGAATTTACAGACGGAAGGTTACTTTGGAAATGTAATCGGTTACAGATTACAAGTTACAGTATTTAAAATCGAATAAATGGTGTAACTATTTCAATTACTTTATTAAAGCAATGTAACTGATTACATTTGATTACTTTTTGATTACATTTCTAAGGAATGTTACTTTGAGATTGTTCTGAGATTAAATACAGATTTAAAATCATAACAAGAGATAGTTTAATAGCTATGATACTGTTTTTGAAATCAAATCTTTGCATAGTTTTGACAGGAATCACTGGCATCTAACAACGCCTTGGGAAAAAACAGTTAATCTTAAAAATAAAGCATATACATAAACCCAAATAGGAAATAAAACAGTTATTGAATAAGCATGTGTCCTAAACTCCCGAAACATTGCAATTTATGAAAGAAGTCAATCAAATCTGTATGTGTGTAAAGATATTCAGATGTAACCCCCTTTGTAATCATTAACATTTTCATAAGTAACTGTAACATTTAAAAAAGACATTTATTTTGTAATTAAATGAATGTATGTAATTCCATTACATGTAACTAGTTACTCCCCAACACTGTTTACAGGTCTCATGGGGTACTACGATATTAGTAGAGGTTTTTTTTTCCTTGAGAAAAATTGACATGTATCCAATTGAATCAAATCAAGAACGGAATTGAATCCAATCACAAGCTTGTGAATCAAAACTGAATTATGAAACTAGTTTAAATATACCCAACTCTACCCAGGTTTTGGATATTGAGATAATAAGAAATGATATCCTCACATTTCGCATCTGTTATAAGTTGCAGTGTTGTACATTTTTTCCTAGGCTGCTTGCAACGCTGAAATCTGTCACTAGTTCAAACGAGAATCTGTCTGGTGATCTGCAATGAAGCGCTTTCGTCTGCATAATCCCACAGCTGTGTATTAGTGCTCAGAGAAACATATCTACTGCATTGTGTCAGGTGTATGATAGTGCATTACATACATACATTAAACATCAACTCACTGTACTATGACTTATACTACGGCTGGGAAGTCCCAGGCTTTTTAAGACTGTGGAAACCCTGTGTCATGTAATTTGCACTGATCAGAGCTTACCCTAATTCACCATGAAGCTTGAGTTCACATGAGACTGTGATTTTGACGTGAATATATTAGTGTTTCATCTTTTATTTGTCAGACTGTGATTGTTGTTGTCTTCCACACGACCTCATTGAAACCTCAGTCATGTTTCTTCAGGCTAAGAAGAGCTAAAGTAAGCGGAGTGCTTTAGTGATCGTGACCCGCTTCAGTGAGCAGACGTGCAGGTCGTCCACACTGACTCTCGTCCATCACCAGCTCACCAAATCCACAAGAAACATTGCTTTCACTGGCTCGAAAGCAAAACCTTCATGTGTGAACCGAACACCGCAAACCCTTTCAGAACAAAGCATCAGTCAGACGGCGTCTGAAGCAGACGAGCAGCAGATCACAGCACACAGGTGACGCCTCCTAGTGTCTGATTCTGACTGAGAGGATGAGACGGCGACAACAACACAAGCACGAAACTGAGCTCTGGTTTGGGTGGTTTATGCGGATGCAGATTTGTAGAATGACATGGGTATGACAGAGGTATTTCAATGTGAAGGTGGTTTATGAGGACACTGTCTGTGCCCCCGTAATTCAAAAGGCTTAAAAACATACTAAATGGTGTTTTTTTGAGAATGTAAAAATGCAGGAAATTTTTTGTAAAGGGTAGGTTTAGGTGTAAGGTTGGAGTAGGGCAACAGAAAATAGTTTGTACAGTAGAAAAACCATTACATGTTTTCTACTGTATGTCTATGGAGAGTTTCATATCATACTATAATACGGTCAAACTCAACAACTGGTTAGTATACCATTTTTAAATAATAAATAACAATAATACATTTGTAATGATATCATTACGTTTCTACTAAATATAAACATTTAAACAGTGGCTGTCATAAAATAATATATATGTGGTCAACTCAGCCCTATAAAGCAGGACTGTAATGTCACTTTTTTATATCTGAATGAGAGATTGGGGGCAATAAGGTCTGTTTGAGCATGTTCTGTTATTGTGCATCCCTTTCTTACATCTGACATCACATGAGCTCAGCCCTGAGGTCATGTCCTGTGTTTCTGGCCAATCAGTGCCTTCTCTTTGTTTTGCTCTCTGCGGATGAAGAAAAGGCCTTTTTTCCTTCAGCCTTAATTCAGCGCAGGGTGTTTTGTTGGCGTCTTGTGGCCCGGAAAGGCCAGATACAATGAGACTTCAACTAATTAAAGTCATATCACAGCTGACTGCAGCCATGCTTCCAAATCCTTCTCCATAAGCCACTATAATAAAACCAGGAGCAGGACTAGCAGCGGTTAACTAACGCTGAGGGACTCCAGACTCCTGACAACACATCCAGTACTACTGATCAAATGAACAGCGTACTGAAATTACTCGTTATTTGACAGACTGAACCATGTTTAGTATGTAATGTAAAAAGTTTGTAAATGTTTGATTTTCATTGCAATAGGAGTTGATTTGCCTCATTCATTATGTGTTTTCAGTATCATAACCACGTGTCCTCCTCTGCATGTAATATGATGATCTGTCTGATATCACATTTAACAGAGTGATGTTACACAAGTCTTTCTGACCACATGGCTGAAACATAGGTGTTTCTATGGTAGTCTTTGTAAGTATTTCATTGTGTTACCTTGTCATGCTCAAACCTTCAACTTTGTATTTGGAACAAAATCACGATCATCATTTTTACACTGGACATTTTTAAATCTGTACACTTGTTTTTCTTAGTATAAAGCACAAGTCTATATAAGAATATGGTGAAGTGCAATGATATGTATCTGTTCTTCAACCCCAAAACATTCTGAATGCAACATGGCTGTCACAAAACACGTTCTGATAAAGAAATGCCATGGATTATGCGTGAGTTATGAAGGGACATCAAAGGACCCGACCTATATGTATTCAAAATTTACTGCATCAGGGATGAAATAATCTAGCACTGTATTGTTAGTGTTGATAAGTAACTATAAATGCAAAACTGTTATACTGTAATCAAATATTGTAAAAAAAAAAAAAAAAACATTATTGTCACTGTATATTTTTCTACCCGTTACATTTTTACACTGTTGAAAAGAGGTTACTTTTTAGGTTTGGGGATAGGCTTAAGGGATCTAAAATATATCTATAAAATGGAAAAAATGTAAATAAATATATTTATGATAAAAAGGATTCCTAAATATTTTACACTTCTATAGCTGTAAATGCATAATAGTGTTTACATTTTAGATTCACATTTCTCTTAATGTAATGATTTCTTCTAGACCCTTAAACTACATTTAATCACAATATTAAACCACTACAGCATTTTAGATTTCACATTTCCTTAGATCTTTTGACATATAAGAGGTCATCATACTATAAACTCATAATGTCTAAACTCATAAACGTCCTTGTTAGTCCAAAAACCGCTTTTAAACAGTTTTTCCACATCCTCTTCTTTATTATATAATAGAGATGAATGTATCTGTCTAAGACTGTCTGCGCAGACACAGATCAACACTCGATCTTGCAGTGAATACATGCTCTCTGCTGACCTTCTGAGGGATTTTAACCTTAGAGAAATGCCTGTTCATTTTCAGTGAAGTGCCTGATCATGTCAGTAGATCATAATTATTTGTTCTTTACATTTCACATTTCTCTGTGGACTCTTTTGTGGACCAGTCACCACTTTTCAAACACAATTTTACTGAAAGATGTCGCAACACATAAGTAACCATGTTAATTCTAAAGCCTGATCTGTGGGAAATTATTGTTTTGATATATAAGGACTCATGCAGTCGGCTGGTAAATCAAGCCATTGAGAAAATCGGTGCTTCTCAAACCTGTCCAGGAGCCTCAGCGCTGCACATTTTCCCTCATCAGGCACACCCAATCCAGCTCTTACCGTCTCTAGATGAGCTGAATCATTCATCATTCAACATTCTTTTGAATAGACTAGAAAATTATGTTGGCATTAAAAGGAAATCTGCCATCAATTCGTGGCAGTGCATGAAGAGGAATCATACCAATATTAAGTGCAGTATGGAGTACCTCAAGGCTCAGTACTAGGAACGTTACTTTTTATGCTTTACATGTTACCCTTGGGAGATATCATCAGGAAACACGGTGTTAGCTTTCACTGTTATGCTGATGATACTCAGCTCTATATTTCTTCGCTGCCTGACGAAACATAACAATTTGCAAAACTAACAGAATGCATAGTTGATACAAAAGACTGGATGATGAATAATTTCTTACTGCTAAATTCTGATAAAACAGAGGTGTTAATTATAGGACCAAAAACCTCTGCATGTAATAACCTAGAACACTGTCTAACACTTGATGGCTGCTCTGTCAATTCCTCGTCATTAGTTAGGAACCTAGGTGTGCTATTTGATAGCAATCTTTCCTTTGAAAGTCACGTTTCTAGCATTTGTAAAACTGCATTTTTTCCATCTCAAAAATATATCTAAATTATGACCTATGCTCTCAATGTCAAATGCAGAAACGTTAATTCATACGTTCATGATCTCAAGGTTAGATTATTGTAATGATTTATTGGGTGGTTGTTCTGCACGCTTAATAAACAAACTCTAGCTGGTCCAAAATGCAGCAGCTGGTTTATCATTATAGGGTGGTTGTGTACACACTGCCAACACACATTTCAGTTTAAACAACTTGTAAAAGTGCATGTAGCATCCTATGACCGCTTTAACATTGTTTTAACCTTTACAACTAGATAAACGCAATATCCATTTAAATTAACAAAAGCAAACCTCTATTGCATCTTGCCATTTTGATATTTGATTAATAATTAGTGTCCTGCTTTGCTTAGCAAACTTAAAGTAATGTAACAGAAGTTATGGCTGAATTGATTTATGTATTGTGACATATTTCAGAGTGAAACAAGTTTTAGAATGTGAAAAATTAAAGGGCGGGACTTGACTTTATTAATTGTTAAAGTAAATGTATAATTTCAAGAGTGTGAGTAAAAGAGTAAGTATCTTTGTGAATGGGACCTTAAGAGCAGAAAACTCACCTTTTATCTCAATAAAAAACAAGCTTTATATAATTTGAATAATCAAAATTAGTTTGTGTCTGCTTATTCTATTCACCAGTGTTTGAACCATTAAAGAAGAAACTGCTTTTTAATTTCTGGGTTAAAAGTACACATTAGACAGGGCATTTTTAAATTTTTTCTTGGATGAAAATGAGGCTGTGAGGGATAAACCTAGTCTATACAATGTCACGCGTATAAAAGCCCTACACACAAACTAATGTAATAAAACATTCTCAAGCTGACTGCATTTACATGAATAGTCTCCAAGACGGGCATTTTGACATAACTTTTCATGTAAGTGTGTAGCAATAACAGAACTTAAGAGAGCTTGAGCGAAAGAACTCGGCATTCGCATGCTTGACTGAGAGGCACGTTATTCTGTGAGCGTGCTTTCGGTGTGTGAGCTGATATATGTTCATTTGTTCAAATCAGAAAAAGCACAGGGCAATATATTTCTTGTCAGTGTTGAGGAACTACTGAAATGATTGTCTACAGAGCAGCAAAAGCTCTTTCTGGATGTGGTCTGTCACTGACTGAAGGCAGTTGTAAACGCAGGAAGAGACAGTAAGAGAGAGACAGACGAGCGCAGCTGCAGCACTCACCGCTGGAGCAGTCGGGCCCTCCCCAGCCCGGCTCACACTGACAGGTGCTGGGGGCCACACAGCGGCCATGCACACACTTCTCAGCACAGTGGGCTGCAGAGAAAACAAGAGAGACAGAGAGAGAGCGCTCAGATTACACCAGCACCCAACAAACACCTACAACCCCAAACCCTGCTCCTCACAACTCTACATCTAGCATCAAATATCTCAGTGAATATCAGATATGTTTTACATCTATCTCTCTGTCTCTCTCTCGGTCTGCAGTAGTGCAGTAGTAACACTCACGAACACATCTGTCTCTGCTCTGGTAGAATCCCGGGCAGCACTGAGACTTGCGGCGGTGCATGGTCTTCTCTCCTCTGCGGTAGGCCGTTCTGTAGCTCACCCTAAACACAGCCGAAAAATCACAGCTACGGGTTATTCAATATTCTGTTATACCTCAATTTGATAGAACAAAATATGACAATATATGAAAAACTATGCTTCCATGACACCTTAATAAACTTTGAAAAGCATTGTAAAGCGCACACACCTGTGCTGAGTGCATTTGAACCAGTTGAGGATGTCTGAGCAGCTGGTGTAGTAAATCTGATCGAATGGGTGAGCGTACGACTCCTGCACAGTCACCGAGTAACTGCAGAACACACACACACGAATGGTTTTTGAGGGACTCTACACAGACAAAATGATTTCTATACTGTCCAAACTGTACTTTCTATCCCCCAACCTGAAACCTCACCCTCACAGAAAACATTCAGTGTTTTTACATTTTCAAAACATACCTGGACCACACACTCTCTCACACACACACACGTCTGGTTCACTATCCTTGTTGGGACTCTTCATAGGCGTAATGGTTTTTATCCTGTACAAACTGTATTTTCTATCACCCTACACCTAAACCGACCCCTCACAGGAAACTTTCTGCATTTTTACTTTCTCAAAAAAAAACTAATTCTGTATGATTTATAAGCTTCTGTACCCATGGGGACCTCAATTTAAGTCCCCACTAGGATATATAAACCTGTACAGAAGGCCGCGTCTCTGTCAGACGTGTGTGGTCTCATTACTCCAGCACTAATGGTTAATAAGAGCAGCAGTTATCTGTGTATGTCACATGTTCGCTGTGTGTGGCCACTGCTGCTACACAATACATGAGGAAAACAAATCAGAAAAGCAAAGTGTTTTGTTGAAAGCAGCTCTCCGCCAGTTCTCCAGACACCTGTCTGTGGGTATTTGTGTGGCGTCGTTCAGATGTTCATAAACTGGCGCTCCTCCAGTAAAACAGAAGCGCTTTTGTTTCTCAGGAACAGCTGTGCCTTTCGGCTGTGTTTAGGGCCGCTCATGTGCAGGACACATTCAGGAGTAAAAAAAGCACTAATCGTCTATAAATGAAGAACATAATTATAAATAGCAACAGCTGGATCAAATATTGCTTTATGATGATGTAAAGACAGGCGTTTCATGTGCGTCTGTGGAAGCAGAGCTCTTGTTTGAATCTGCTGTGAGCGTTAGTGACGCAGGAATAAACTCATAATGCACGCTGTGAATGTGCTGGGAAATCTTGCACACAGATATTAGGACACACATTCCCTGCTTTAGGAAACTCTTGTGCAGCGCACAGCTGTTCCCACACATTACCGAGTGAAAGTCAATCTAGCTGGGAAAGAAAACTCCAACTTTGTTCTCTTCAATCTGCTTTAATGGATTTCCGAGCTGGTCCTTAATTTGGCCACGGACATCTCCTGCCTGTGTGTGTGTGTGTGTGTGTGTTTACTACTCTGAGATAAAGGAACTCGCCTGTTGAAAACTACAAAGGACAAGATCAAAGGACAACAAGCAGTTATTGCGAAATGCTGAGAAACGGAAGAGTGTCAGAGCAACAGTCCATCAGTCTTCATCAGCATTTCATGTTCCCTCACAGGGGAAGTGACCCAAATCTAGCTGCCACACCTTTTCTTAAACATATGTCAACAGAATTCCTAAAAAAGTGGGTGTTAAACCGAAGATTCACATCTTTTACTCATAAACTGACAAAATTCTTTATTATTAACTCAAATATTTAATCGGCTCCAAATGAAAAGTAAAATGAAAGTGACGAGCATGTGCATCCGCTGTGAAACAAATCATCCCTCTCATACTTTCTATCTGAAATACAGCATGTTGCCTCATTAGGGTCACTTCCTGTTAGACATGATAGTTTCAACTCTGCTATGGGAAAAAATAAGATGTTTTACAGAAAGCAAAACACATGAGAACAGTGAAGTGAATAATGGGCTTCCTACTGAGATTTTTTTTATTTTTATGAATTAATTAAGCATGCTACACAAATATTTGAGCAACTTCGGACCATTCACATGAAGACACACCCACCTCTCCCAGTGACTGCAGACATTCGGGTCGTCCAGGTTGAGTGATGATGTCAGAGCAATCAGACAGCACGAGACAGCCAATAGCAGAGGACTCCAGGGTGACATCATTGCAGGAAACACCTTCACACAAACACAAACACACACTCAGCAGTCAGCGCAAACACACGCTGCAATCATGACCTGCATCACACACACGAGAAACACTGCGTCAAGCTCAACTTCCAATGTGCTTTGGGTAACTGGACCGAGCACTGATGGCATCCCACCCCACGACAAAGTCACTGATCTTCTCATCAGCAGCACTAGTTGATCAGTCACAGTCCAGATGGGCAGACTCCTCCTGCACTGCTGTGAGGCCTGAGATCACGCTGTGCTGGTGCTGATGTGGAGGATGTGCTGATCAGACTCTCTAATGCAGGAGCACCTTCTGTTCTGTGTGTTTGAGATGAGGGACTCTTATGTTTCTGGTGCCCAGCAGCATGTTCATTAGGATCTCACACAGAGTTTGACCTGATGACTAGAGTTTGGCGCTGATAGCTTGAGGGGTCCTTACAGAAGCTGTGAGGCACCTTCAGACGGCCTGCAGAAAACTGACGCAGCTGAAGACATGATCACATTGCCCTGCTCACTACCGGACAATGACAAGCTTTTAATGTTTGGAAGAACTTCTCTTCTGCTCAGCAGGACTGCATTTATTTGATCAAAAATACAGTAACAACAGTGAAATATTATTAGAATTTAAAACAGCTGTTTTCTATGTGAATATATGGGTCATTCCTGGGATTCGGTAATATTTCAGTCCCCCAGAGTTTCTAAAGTGGTGGTTCACCAAAATTAATTGTTCGAAGCTTTTCACAATACTTGCCGATTGTAAAGAATTTTTTTAAATAATTGCATTTCAATATTTTTTAGTCTTATGTCTATCCTGAACCAAGCATTTTGGTCACGTCCCTGATGCGCTTCACTGGGTTTGTACTTAGAAAATTCTTAACAAAATGGGCATAGTGTCTGATTTTTGGCAATAATGTAAGCATGTATTTTGTGCTCCTTTCTTGTGAAAAATATTTTTCTAAAAAATCTACTAGATATTTTATAAAACAGAGACTTTAAAGTTATGTCCCTCAGTCTGAACTCAACCCTGTCACACTAACCATTCTACGCCTGTAAAAATAATAGACTGTGTGTGGTCAGCCCCGTCACAAATATATTTATTTCATTGTTACGGGGTTGTAAACTTGTGACAGGGTGGAGTTATTTACTTCATTTATTAATCATTTTAATGACAAAAATATAAACTAGGCATGGTTTCAGTAAATATATACTTACCAAAATCATGACAACTCATATTTTTGTTATAAATATAATTTTTGATGTATGTCAACTTAAACTTTGGCAAGCATCATACATCAGAAATTGCAGCCACATTTGCAACAGAAAGACATGTTGACCCGGAAAGAAGGGAACAATATGAGAGAGAAACAAAACCAAACATTAAAACTGACGGCAATGTGTTAGTCTTCAACCCTGTCACACCTTGTCACATTAATACAATTAAGAATGAAAGCATTTCTTGCTGATTACCATCTGACATGTTAAGGACTAAAACAATAAAATTGTAGTTTTAGTTAAACTTTTAAATACATTTTTTTTTACAAAAATAAACAGACCATAGACACATTATTTGTGTATTTTTAGCTTCCTTCAGTACTGTAAAAATGTGAAAATCATGATAAATTTGACATTTGTTATCATTAAATTGTTATGAGGGACATATGAGTAGGTAGATGTTTGTTTTATAACAAGTTCTGTGTAAAATCCTATTTAAACCGATCCCATTTTGTCCATTACGGGGGTTGAGAAAAAAAGGTGTCTAAAGCTGAAAAAATTAATAAATAATAATAATAATAAAAGGTCATTAATGCCTGAGGTGGGAAAATATGGAGGTTTGATATGTGCCTAATAATGTGGGGTATTTAGATAATGAATCACATGTAGTTGAAATAAAATCTATATTCCAAGTTGAAATGTTACCGAATCCCAGGAATGACCCTTCTGTTAAACTGTAATGTATTTCTGTGATCAAAGCTATTTTCAGCATCATTCAGTGTCACATGATCTTCAGAAATCATTCTAATATGCTGATTTGCTGCTCAAGAAACATTCTGATTATTAGCAATGCTGAAAACAGTTGTGCTGCACAATAATTTACTTCCATCCAAAAGTTTGGGGCAAGAACTTAGTTTAAATAATAACACTTTTATTCATCAAGGATGCATTACATTGATCAAATGTGACAGTAAAGTAATTTATAATGTTACAAAAGACTTCTATTTCAAATAAATGCTGTTCACTGACCTTTCTGTCCATCAAAGGATTCTGAAAAAAATGCATTTTATTCCACAAAAATATTACACCACAGGAACGAGTGACATTTTAAATATATATATTTGAATTTGTAATAATGTTACACAATATGACTGTTTTTGCTGCATTTTAAATCAAATAAATGCTGTTTTGTGAGCAGAAGAGACTTCTTTCAGAAACAGTAGAAGTCGTTTGTCTGGTAGTGTATGCCAGGTGCTTCATGAGGGCCAGTGACAGAGTTTGCTGCAGACGAGATGAAGACCTGTCTGAGTTCCTGAGAGTTCAGAGCCATTAAACCCAGACCAACATCAGTCTCTCAGAGAGCAAAGACTGGAGTGAGCACAGTGCCGCGGCACGCTCACAGAGCTTCTCTAGTGCTCATCTGACCGCTGAGAGCAGAGCTGAAGAGACACAGCTGCACTCACAGAGCTCTCAACAAGCACGAGATGCCTCTGAACTCCTCATAAACTCATCCTCCGCTCAACACAAGCACGCTCCCAGCCAGCACTGCTTACAGCAAGTGGTAATGTACAACACAGACCCTGACCTTAGGTGCATCACAGTAACTAAAGAACCGGTGTGGAGGGTTGGACACTTAATGTGGCAGCTTTTGTTGAGTGACAAAATAACCTTTTAAAACTCACACAACAGCAGTGTAGGTGTGTATAGTGTATAATTTGAGACAGGTCATTGTTTGGTCTGGTCATCCACACCAGATTCTAGCATCATCTAGCTTTTAAAACATTAGATTCATCCTCTGCATGACCAATCAAACAGTCCTGTTTCTCATAAGCCAAGACCAAGCAATGCCTGTGAAAAACTAAGGACTACGAACACCAGATCTGGTGGTGTTTAGTGCAAAATCTCTGCCTGCAGAGGAGACCGAGAGCATGAGGAGCATCCCTGACCGCATCTGTTCAGTCAACGGTCAAGCAAAGCCTGTGGAGGTGCCTGTCTCGAAACATGCAGGACAGGCTCCACGTGCACAAACCCAGTGCTCCTCACGTCAATGAACTCTGCGGGAAGTGAAACAGGAACAGGTGTTCATCGGAGCAGTGTTTGAGTGAAAGTGAGCACAGGTGCCAGCGCTCTGATGCTCCACACACATGTTCTGTCCTCCAGACGTCTGGGGAAACACTGCTGTGTCTACCAGATACACGTCTAGAGTCACTTACAGCACTCCAGGGAGAAATACAACATCACACTCTTAATCTGAGAGAGGAACAACGAGACTCATACATTACACTGTGATGTAAAGCTCATGAGCGCTTGCTATATTCCTCTCTGAATTGTAATAGTGTGACTACATCTGAAAGTTATTAGAAATGTTAATGTACAGATGCATCTATGCTCTGGATGAAGACTAAGAAGATGTATGCCAATACTACTGTAAAAAAAAAAATTTTTTACAAGAAAATACTATTTCAGTCTATCAACTATAACATTTCTTGTTTAATTCAATGTATCCCTAGTGAAAAATAAATCCACTAAAATGTATTTGAAATACATGTATTTCATGCTAAGTATACTTCAAATACATCATGTAACTAATAAAAATACCCTGCAGTTGTACTTTTAGTATACCAAACTGGTATAGCCTACTTAGAGTCTGTTAAACAGGAACAACTCATTTTGTGCTTAATGAAATTTAATTGTGCTGAAGTAGTGCTTATAGTATGTACTTAGTATATTTGGTAGTGCTAAAGTGGAACTATTACAAGTTTACTTTAGGTACACTTTAAATATCTGACATTTAAAGGCCGATATTATTCAGAGATCATACAATCCTTATCAACAAGTGAAATTTAAACACATTTTAGGCTTAAAGGGGTCATATGATGCGATTTCAATTGTTCCTTTCTCTTTGGAGTGTTACAAGCTCTTGGTGCATAAAGAAGATCTGTAAAGTTGCAAAGACTAAAGTCTCAAATCCAAAGAGATATTCTTTATAAAAGTTAAGAGTCAGCCACACCTACCTAAAACGGCTCGTTCTAACACGCCCCCACATACCTTTAAAGCATGTCAACATATTCTGTTACACCAAATACACAAAATAATGATCTTTAAAATAGCATCATATGACACCTTTAATATTGAAAAATGTGCATTGTGATGATTTTCTAAATTCAAATTTGTCAATCAGTAAGTCTCGAGCGATATGTCAGTAAATATGTTAACGGAATTGAACTATACTTAGTATGAAATAAATGTATTTTCAATATATTACTTTTTTACTAGGGTTCATTTGCCAATTCTTTGTAATTCTTTGTTTCAAATTGAATCCTACACAGAGTTACTTGAAGTACTTTGTTCTTGATTCATCATTCAGTGAACAATATGTATCATATAAGGCATAATCCACGGCAAGCTGTGCATTAATTACACAGTTTAATTCATGATGTGGAGGCAAAGAGCTTGCGTTGGCCCCTGGACAGATGAGATGCTAGTTAGCGCCCTATGTAGTCTACATAGTGTGCACTGCATATGGTGCGGCACTACTGTGCACAAGTGTGTCTTTGTGTGAGAGTAACAGGGAGGATCACACTGGAGTCAGAGCATGCAAACCTTTCTTTAGACACTGCAAAGCATCTGAAAGGAAAACTCCCACAAATGCATAAAACCACTGCATCCAGCCTTTTAATCACTACTGTTCATAAAGCATCATGAAGCAGTCGGAGGTCATAGCGGAGGACTCGTCTTTGTAGGTCACTGCGTCACAGCTTTCTCTCAAACGGGCCAATAAATACACATGTGTCGCTGTCAATCAACACACATTCCCTCTCTTCCTCACAGGACGAATGCCATGCTCCTAAACAAACACAACAGCAAATAAAACCCATCTGGATCTTTCAGCACAGATTCTGGGGAAGAACTCAAGGCCCACGGCTGTTTTCAGTGTTTCACTGCATAACACTTATTTCAGGTTTCAGACACTCAAATCCATAGACTGCTTTCATAGCTTGTAAAAAAAATACACACTGGTGTCTCTGGAAGTGGCAATAATGTGCAAAAAAATAACCCTTCAAACTAAATGTAACGACTTGTTTTATTCTCGTTAATCAAACCTTCTGTAGGTCACTAAAATGACTCTGTTCTTCTCATGTTGTTTAGGGAAAAGTGCAGAAGTGGCTTTGGAGCTGCCCATCACCCGCTAAACCGTACAACCAGCTAGCATGATCATTAGAGAAGTATTTACAACACAGTTTACACATACACTTCACATCTAGTTCAGAATCATTTAATAACAGGACGTCGATGCGTTATATCTGTAATGCTGCTTCAAAATCTAGCATGTTGAAACAGACTTTTGAGGCATAAAGACATGGAGTTTGTTAGTGTCATCGACCAAACCCTAACGAGATTTGACACCAGCTATAGGCAGGTTAACAACTGGAGATCATCAGATCATCAGCTGAGAGGAAGACGAGATCTGCTGCGCCGCCCAAGCATGTCAGACTTTCTCAGCTACTTATTTTTGTCTCAGAAACATTGGTCTTTGACAAACCCTGTAATTATGAAGGGAATAATGCTGTTTTTATTGCAAACAGATGGAGCATCAGACCGCTCTCCTTAACTAACAGATGCATAATACGATAATCATACAGGAACAGACTTCATACAAGAGACACACTGCTGCATACAAGAGCTGGCAAATAAAATCACTGCACACACACACACACTCACACACACACACACACACACACAGGTTTGTTTTTGTGAAAAGTGGGGACTCTCCATAGGCGTAATGGTTTTTATACTGTACAGACCGTATATTCTATTGCCCTACACCAACCCTACCCCTAAACCTACCCCTCACAGGAGACTTTGTGCTATTTCAGATTTTCAATACACTCCATTCTGTGTGATTTATAAGCGTTCTGAAAAGTGGGGACATGGGGTAATGTCCTGAAAAGTCACCTTCTCCTTGTAATACCTGTCATACCTTTGTCATTATACACATTTATGTCCTCATTTGTCACAAAAACACACACACACACACATGCTGACACACACACACACACTCACACACACACACACACACACACACACACACACACACACACACACACACACACACACACACACACACACACACACACACACACTCTCACACACCCAGCCACACACAGAGTCACACAC